GGCTGGAGCTAAAGATGAATGGCGCTAAGTCTCATAGATTAATATACAACCACTGGTACCTGTTTTCAAACTTGATTGAACAACTAATTATTTGGTCAACATGGTCAATAACTTGGATATTTACTTTGTAGCTTCTGCCTGTACATGTGTGTGGGGGAGCTGTGTACACATTGAAATTCCCTTGTATAAATTTGAGTCTTTTAGAATCCTAGACTATCAGGTCTGGTCAGAACCTTTATGATCATAATCCCATTCTGGAAAACTGAAAGTCAAAAAACAGAAGAGGTACTTCAGTTGGTTAGTATGAGAGATGAGACTTGGACAGGTCTTCCTAACCCTACTTGAACTGCACAGCAGCCATTAGTTAACTAATCTTTCATTTCCTCCCACAAGAGGACTCAAAATTGGACTTGGATTAAGGTTAAAAAGACTATATTTCATCTGCTTCCCAGATTTTACTCTCTTTATTCCTGGTCTTAATTTTCTCCTCACATTAGTCCTCTTCTTCCTTTTATTCCATTTTAAGGAAACGATACTCAAACGCTTCTTTTGTATAGTTTTCATGACGTTTCATCCATGTGGCTAATTCCCTCAACTGGATAACTGCTTGGAGGAGGTTTTTGTATTATTTTTGGCTTGGGCATCCATATCCTGCCAGTGAGTGACAGCAGAGACTGCCTCCTCAAATTTCCACAGTGCTGATAAGAGGAGTTGGCAAAGGGCAAGAAGGAAGCTATAAGGAGAGATGGAGGGGGCCAGGTGCCAGGGAATCCAGCTACATACATGGCAGGATTTGCATATATGAGATGTGCACTCAGAATCAGTTCTCAGCATCCACTCATCATGAGGAAAGTACTTTACATTTGGGGACTTGGGATGGCTACCTTCTTAACAATGGCACTAAACTAAGAGGTAACACATGTAGATTCACTCTTCTCATTTTTTTTTTTTTTTAAGTTATCTTATTGGAGCTTGAACAGCAGTTGTCATGAGGTCTCAGTGTCTGGCGTAAGTTTAGGTCAAAGTACGCAAAGATTGTTTCCAAGTGATCTGAATAGAAAATGTCACTCATCACTCTTCCACCACCATGTGAAAACTTGGCTTTGAGGGCACATGGCATCATTCTGACTAAGCATTGTTACCCCGAAATATGCAATCACTTTTCTGGCCCTCTGCTGCATGTTAGTGTGCAAGAGATGGCAATGCCTGCCGACAGACAGGCCCAAATAGGAGCTGATAAGGCTTATACCAATTCTGAGATTGCACCTTCTCACTATTTATCCATTTTGTGGTCCTAGGCAAGCATTTTTATAAATGGACATTTAGCAGATGGTATGCATTTAGAAAACAGGCCAAAAGAGCTACTGCATTCTGAAACCGAAAAAGGGAGGTGTAAAATACAGAAAAACGGTCAGGAGTCTGTACTGCATCCTAGGCCCAGGTATGTTAGAAGTGGGCTAACAAGACAATGCAACCATCTGCTGGGCCATGGAGACAAAGAATGAAAGATTTCCCAGCAAGAAAAAGGAAATAGAGTGTGCAACTGCTGCTATTGCTAAATAGGGTCTCTAATCCCTCTCTCCATAATGGTAATGACTTACATTTATATGGTATCTTTCATCAGCTCTGATCTCAGGGAGCACTGAAAGCCTTCTCTTGACTCTGCTCCTAAATCTGGTCCTTAACAGGCTAAAGGATGACATCTATATTTATACTGTATCTATTTTAGAGAAGAATAGCTCATGTGAAATAGGACATTCGGATGCTAAGGAAATGAATCAAGTGTGACGAAGGAAAAGGTGGAGGGAGAGAAGTTGTAGAAAGTGCAGATGCTTATTTCCAATCATGACCCTCAGTATCATCCAGCTGAATAGACAACTCCACTCAGATAAAGTCACTGAAAGCTCTTAATGCATCTAGTAAGCTCAGCTTCATCTCATCTGCCTCCTGTCTTTTCATGGAACTTGGCACTCTTCAGAGTCTATCACATTAAGGTGAATATTCTTCAGGGAGTCTTGACAAACTCTGACATTGGATTCTATGTGATGCTAAAGATATTTTTCTTTCATGCTTTGGAGGCACAGCAATGAAGGAGACATTTGAGATATAGGCAATGAGAGGCTAAGGCTTGGAAGGGAGGGGAATAAGAGGGAATCTGGCCTGTCTCAGTAAGAAGCTCAATGAGATATGCAGGAACATCAGGCATAGCTCATATCGATGTAGCAGCCACCAACAATTATGATGCATTAAAGTTCTGGGAAAAAATAAGCTCATAGAAGACAGAGATAGACACAAAGCAGTGGCAAAAATAACTCAGAGTGCTGGATTTCAGTAAGGACAGAGGTGGAAGCTCTGTCCATGGTGTCTCCAGGCTGATAATATCAATTCAGGAAAAGTAAGGCCACAAGGATTCCTTCTACATTGGCCGGGAATTGAATAAATGGGTGTCTTCTTCCCTTAACTATTCTTTTCAGTAATGATCACATAATCACTGTGCAGACACCTTAGGGAATGGCATATGATCTGAGGATGAATGGGATTTTGAAGACAAGAACAGAGGTGACATAGAGGAACACTGGACTGGGCACCAAGAGCTGTGTTCTAAACACAGCTTTCACCAGCTTCGTGGCAGGTAGTCAAGGTTCAATGCAGCAGGCAAATTTCTGGGCTTAAAATCAAAACCAAATGCTTTTTGAACCTTGACAGTTCACTTGATCTCTTTGAGCCTCAGTATCCTGATCTGTAATATAGGAATAAAAATACCTGTCTTATAAGATTGCACAAAGGGCATTACACAGAAATTTATGTGAAATGGCTTTAAGAATGGAAGCACACTATACACAAAAGGTCTGGCCCAACCCTGTGAGTTACAGATGGGAAGACAGTACCCCAAAGAAGTGGAACCCCATGCCTAAGGCCACACGGAGAAGTAGTAACAGAGTTGGGCCTTGTATCCAGTTCTTCAGGTTGAATCTAGCTTTCTTTCGTGACATTGTCATGATACCTATTTCTTCCCATCTCAAGTGGCTGGCTGAAGATCCCATGAGATGGGACAGAGATGGGGAGGAGTTTTAATAAAGTGATGAACACGATATAAATGCAAGCACATGAAAAGCAATATAACTAGAGTAGGGGCACACAGTGACTGGACATGAACCCCAGCTGGGAAACTTGATGAAGTCCACCAGCACTCAGCAATACAGCCTGGCCACAGACAAATCCTGGTAAAATCACTGAGAAAACTAACACGCAACAACGTCCGGCTTTAGCTTCTTGAGATCTTGCTCCTTGGGTCTGTTAAGTCAGGATTTTTGCTTGTAGGTTCTTAACAATTACCCCTCATCATTATTTTCTAGCTACATAAGGCTCATAAAATTACAAAAATAAGAACATCTTCTGTCCACAGCTAGTGTAGGTCCCATGAATCAGTTTCATCATGCTGAAAGAGATCAGTTTCTCACATGTCATGCAAGGTCAAGGCAGTACCTCCTGCCCAGGTGGGCTTAGCCTGCACTCTACATAAAACCAAGCACCTTCAACAAAGTCTGATGATGAAAAATGATGACGCCCAGATGAGCACATCCACTTTGGGCAGACACAAAGTGTAGGTCATTTATTACCTTTAGCAAATGCAGGAGATGTGACTGCTAATTGGTCTCTTCATTAACCAAGGAGAACATCTACCACTACAACTCACAAGCTAGTGGCAATCTGGGGCGATTTTTAAGTGGTTTCCACCTCATAATCATATTTCTTCCTGAAATCTGCTGGCCTAAAAAATGTCTCTAATTCTTCATGAATAGACTATTCCTGCCTTCAGGAAATATGGGCTTCCTGGGAAGGGAGAGGACAAGTGAGTGGTACACATCATAAACAGAAGTGAAATGCTACACCAAACCTTAAACATGGATGATTTTTTTTTTTTTTTAAAGCCAGGCTTTGGTTAGAGGGTTTTACACTATTTGGCGACAGGGGGAACCCAATAACTTTTTTTTTTTTTTTTTTTTTTAGCTTCTGCAACTCCTAGGTAAGAAGTTTCTACTATTTTCCTAATAACTAAATGGCTCTAGTCTTCTATAGGAGTTTTATCATATATGATGTAAGGCCAGGGTCAAAGGGATACTTTTGCAGAAATGTGAGGCCCTAACAGCAGGGAAGGATTTGTGTGGTTGGGGAGGTTAGCAAGGGAATTCTGCCAGCAACTGACAAGGAATACTGTCCTTCTAGTAGCAACCAGCATTTCAGTTTCAATTAGTGAACAAAATCCCTTTCTAGTGGGCATGCAGAGAGACACAGTTATAAGGTCTCCTGGGAGCAGGAGGCACACACCACCTTCCAGCCTCCCTCCTTCCACTGAGTGCACAAAAATGACAAGTATCTGAATGTAGTCAAGTTTTCATTTTAGGGACCTGCCCAGGACAACTTATCAAATGCCCATGGAAAAAAAGGGAAACAATATGGCTCAACGCTGTGGCTACCTGATCAGTTAGACTTCAGGATTCACTGGTCATCAGCTTCTAATGGCTCTGCAGTGGACTTCTCACATTACATGTGTGACTTCTGGACCTGGCATGCCAGATAAACTAGCTAGTCATTTCCTTCCAGGCTTGGCATTCTTGGATCTTATTGGTATTCCTAATGAGTTTTAGAGGCTGTATCCAAACAGCAAACTGTACTGTTAGATCAGATGAGGACTTAAGAATAGCATCTTTAATAAAAAGCATAAACATAGTGGGCATGACTGCAGCGTAGGCAGTTATTAGGGTTATGGTTTCAAAGTTTCTCAAACAATGGCTCCAGGAGAGAAGGAAGATAGTAAATACCAAGTAAACAACGTACAAAATGTGCAGCAAACTCAAATGTGCAAGGAGACCCATTTTAATTTGATTCCCACCTCTTTGCAAACTAATGAACACAATGTGCCACAGATGTGTCTGAGGTGCAAAGTCCAGCAATTAAATAACTAGACAATCCAAGTCTGAAGAAAAACTTAGCCTTACCTGGAGACATGGAGGAGTCATAAGAACTTCTCTCCTTGCGGTTCATCTTGAAGGCTTGGATGTCCTTTTCCCTGTACGTTCCAAAGCCTTCATAGCTCCTCCTTTTACTCCCACTCACGTCACTGTCCCACTTGTCATTCGAAGGGTTCATTTCACTGAACACGTCCAGGTTCTCCGATCTCGTGCTGCCACCATCCCCGCCACTGCCAGAGTATCTTTTTGTGCATGAGTCCACAGGCTCACTGCTCAAGTCTCCTTTTTCCTTGGCCTGTGTCCAATGCTGGGCATCGGAAAGTGACAGTGTAGACAAGGTGTCCACCTCGAAGTTGTTCTTAGAAGCTTTGTGGCCGGCTTCGCTGTGCTGGTGCTTCTGTTTCTCCTTATGCTTGTTCTTCTCACTCACCAGCGGGAGCTCTTTGTCTGCGCTACTCAGCCGCTCGCTCAGGATGTGGCTGGAGAAGCCTGTGGCTTTGCCTGCAAAGAGACCACTCAGGTTGTCATGGGTCCCTAGGATCCGGTCTTCCTTGTGCTTATGCTTGTGTTTGTGTTTCCTCTTATGGAGCCGACCGCTGGACAGACTGGCACTGCCTACCTTGGGAGGATTCAGAGAAGGCTGCATGTCACCAAGGCCCATGCTAACAGGTCCCTGCAGGTGTACTCCATGCTTGGCTTTATGCTTAGCTGCACCGGACATCTTTACGTGGGAGTTTGTGTGGAACTGAGGTGGTGGCACTGTTGGCCTCATGAATGGGGAAGCTGCTCCAAGCGTGTGCGATAGGTACAAAGGAGCTGGGTACTGACCGTAATAACCAAGGTTCATCATAGGCATTGATGTGTAAGGCATTCCATAGGGTGCATAGTAACTTCCACTGGGAATAGGGTAGCTGAACCCTTGTAAAAAAGGCACCTTTGTCATGGTGTCATTGGTTTTTGCAGGCCTACCACGCTTCTTCTTTGACTTCAAGTCTGAAGTCCTACGAAGATAGAGCAACGGGTCATACTGGATATATGGCACCGGGTAATAGTGATCAAAATTAATCCGAAAAATGCTGGGATATGGATTCTCGTGGTAGAAGGTGTAACTCCGGTGGGAGATTCTGAACACTTGGAACTTGGTGATGAGCTCCTCCAGGTCTGCCAGAAACTGGAGGTCATCACGGTTTTGCAGGCTTTTCCGTTTCCTCTTGTGCTTTGGCTTCTTGAGGCTTTCGTGGGCCAGAAAGTTGTCCACAATGAGATGCTTTTGCCGGTGGCCATGCCGGTTCTTTGTGCTGGTGTCGGACGGAATGGCCTCCGGGTTGTCCAGGGAGCAGAAATCAAAAGAGTACCTCCTTCGGGATTCTGAGCTCTTCTCCGCTTGGTCAGAAGTGCTGTTGTTGTCTGTCCCAATGCCGCTGTCGCTGGGGATCGTCTCCTCACTGTGGGACTCACTCACAGGGGACAGCGTGATTTCCTTTAGGGAGCCAATCTCACACAGGTGTGAAGGGGAGTTGGCCATCAGTCTGGGTGGAGACAGCTTCCAGGTTCCACTGTGTATTCCCTTTTGGGTTTTGGTTGGAAGAGCACTGATGGGCTGGAGATTTGGCATAGTTTTCAACTCTGAAAAATTGGTTTCAGTGCTGGCAGGGCTCAGGTTGCCATTGGACCCACCTAACTGTGTTGAAAGTGGGTGCATAGCTGCTGGTGAAGACGCCACAAGTGACTGAAAGTTGGAAGGCACGGCTGGAACATCCGGCTGGCTAGAAACAGGCCTGGGGTGCTTGATGGCTGTTTTGGGTTCTTCGGATGGGGGTGGCAGCTCTGCTCTTGGCTTCCTGCCCCGCTTCTTGCCAATGTAGATGGTTCCCCTCTTGCTGACATTAATCTGCTTGCCCAGTTTGCTTTCAATGGCTGCTGCCCCAGGGCTGGTCTCTGGGGGAGCTTTTGCCTTCAGAGCAACGCTGCTGGAACAGGACAAGATCTGGTTCAAGATGTTTTTCCTCTTGAGTGTCTTCATCTTATTGATAGTTTTGATGGTCTTCTTATCCAACACGCCGAGCTTTCCAACTTTCTTGTGAAATTTCATCTCGCTCATGGGTTTGTCCTCTCCCGGCACTAGCTGGGCCAACTTCGCTAAATTGCGTCGTCGCTTTCTTTTCTTAGTGCCAGGAAACTCTCGGCTGATGGGACTGACGGGGCTGGTGGAAGTTCCCTCATGAATCGTCTCGACTGTGAGCAAAGGCTGCTTCTTTGGTCGTCCCCGCTTCTTTTTGACTGGAGTGATCACAGTAAGACTGTCTGTGTTGGTGTAGAGAGGGCTGGATGGGGTGATGGGATACGCAGATGGGGGCTCCAGCATCAGTTTATCAGAGGTGGCCATAACTGCCTCTCGAAGCATGGTGCTGGGTTTTGGTTTGCTGCAAGTCCACCTTCGTTTTGCAGCAAATTTTGGATGTTGGATTTCCGGCAGCTTTCTGGATGGAGAGTGATCTGTGCACGTTGGAGGTGTCATGACCATGGGTGGCTTCCGCGGCTTAGACACACCTCCTGGGATAACTTTCTCAGCATTTCCACCAGTTTCAAGGCCAACTGAGGGGGACTCATTCTCTATCATTTTACCCAACTTAGGGACACGGGGATCCTTCTTACTCCCCTCAGAGTTGGAAAGTATCCTGTTAACTACTTCACTGCTCATAGTGATTCCAGAAGCCAGGGCTTTCTCTGGCATGATCTTTTCCACCACCGCTTTAATGGACTGTCTCTTTTTCCTCTTATGGTTGGTTGGATCCAGAGAGGGTGCCTTGATGGGGATAGTAATCCGGACATGACTTGAGTCATTTTCAGGATTACTGGCAGAACTCACGTTCTGCCTGGCTGGTGATGCCTCCTGGACACTATCTGTGGAATAACTTTCCCTTTTCCCTTCTGTATTGTCAAATGCTTTCTGGGCATTCTTGACCCAATCCAGGTCTGGGTTTGGTATGGTCTGACTTATCACATCCTTCTTACTGGACTTTTTCTTGCTGCCCACAGTAGGTGGTTCTGGGGGCTCCTTTGTACCTCCTCCATCTTGATCCACCAAGGGCTGAAGCCCGCTGCACTCAGCAGAGCTGCTGGGTGGGGCTGGTGAGCTGTGGCTGCTTGGGGATGGTGCCACACCTCCCAAAAGCAGATCTTTGTTATTGTTAGACAACTGACTCCACGTGTTCCCTGCACTGCCTTTCTTACCCTGGGCCTTTGCAAAGGAAGCCACGGGCTCAAGAGCTGGGATCTTGCTGGTGCTTGCAGTTTCTCTGCCAGACTCTGGACTGATGAAGCAATTCTGAGTGACAGGTCCGCTGTCAGAGTTGGTGGACCAGTCCATGTGGTTCTGGCTGCTGCTTTTTTGCTGGTGCTTTGGTTTTAAGGTGTCACCGGTGAAGTCCTGTGGGAGGCCTGTGTCATAATGGAGAGTTGAATGTTTCTGGGGCCTCTCGTAAGCCTAAGGGTGGGCGGAGTGGAGAAGGAGAGAGAGAGAGAGAGAAACAAAGATGAGCATGTTGAAGCTACTTAAGATTTGACATCAAAAGTCTCAATGATCTGAAAGTTGGAAATGAATACCTAAATGAACAGCCACCTTTAATTTTAGAATGTTTTACAGAGGTTTTCTCAATTGCAGCAGTAAAGATGTATTGCACTGGTTTTGAACATCAGTAAGCACGATTTAATTGCAGTCTTTTCTCCCTAAATAACAGGAATCTTGACCTACCTTGGTTTAATGCAATCTTTAGAGACAGGAGGAAGGGGACATAAAGGTCACTTAGCCCAGTGACTTTTTATATTTTTACATGCTATTTTACAAATGAAGAAGCTGAGACCTGAACAATGGGGAGTCCTGCCAAAGATGGCAAATCCCAGGAGAGAATCTGAAATTCCTGACTCCCAGAGTTCTTTCACCTAACTCAAGCAGCCTCTTATTTCTGTCCCTGCTTCTCTTCAAATGAATGTCTTTCCTCACTTCCTCCTGTTCCAGCTCATTTCAGTTTGTACTTTGTCTTAAAGCTCAACATCTCTGTACAAGTAGCTCATAAAGAACCACTGTAACCAGTAAAAACAGCCCAGGTTGAGGAATTAAGGGGGCATGGAGAAGAAATGGAAGAAGAAAAGAAACACACAAGAATTGTCCTAAGCCTTCAAATCCTTGTGGACTCTAGGAGTGTTGCTGTGTTTGGGGCTTAGCATGCAAAGAAATCCTTAAACTTTATATTATGCACTTATTGCTTTCTTGAGGAAACTTTTGGACAGTCTCAAAAGGAACCTTGAGTCCGCTAGACAAATGTGTCAGGAAAAAAAAAATAGTTGTCATTCAAGACCACTCCTCTGAACTTTGTCAACTGTGTTTCCCCTACATTGATTCTAAAGGAATGTCTCCAGCATGTTTCTCAGGACTGACTCTCTCCAGCTAAAATAAAAAGCTGAACCTGTTGCTGGAGGCACAACATAATCAGTGTCTACAAAACCATAATGGAATGGACAATGAACACATTGTTTGGAGACATTAAAGCTATTTTTAATAAAAATATGCTTTCACTGTTCCAGATGAATTTTAAGCCATGACACTAGTTCAAAGAAGCATTCCTTAAGGTTTATTATAAGCCCAATTTATACATAGAGTGGTAAACTTACAGGATGCATTAGCCTAAGAACTGTTAAAAAAGAGAAAATATTAGTAAATTGAAGAACCCCTCCAGGAAGTGTATGATGACTGGCTTCATGAATTTAGAAAATTTTAGCTGGTAATATCTATCTATCTATCTATCTATCTATCTATCTATCTATCTATCTATCTATCTATCTATCCATCCTCTATCTTTTTATATCTCATTTTATCTCTATTTTTCATTGAAGCTATGGAACTTATGCTTTATAGGAAAACATGTCTTACAGCCCCTGTTAAGAGTCAAAACACAGATGGCATAAAGCATTACAGGGACAGTTCAATGTAGTCATGAAACTAGGATTTCCTTCATACTAATTTCTGGAATCCCTAGGGTTATTTCCTGCCTCCCTGATTTTGTGAAATCCTGTTTATACTTACAATATTTTGTAAGCATCATGAGATAGTTTCCTCAAGGGAAGCCTGTAAATACCCAGGAGAAAACAATTTAATTTTTTAATTCATCTTGCAACTTAAACTTCTACTGAAACACCACCATCATCAACATACAGAGAATTAATCCTACCACTTGAGGGTGTTCACTGGCATTACTGCTGTGAACATAGGCTGCTATTCCATTTTCAGCAAAAACACAGAAATCTTATTTGTGGCATAAAATATTAAGTGCTGCTTACTTATCTTTTATGAATCAGGGCACTGCTAGTTTCTACTTCTGCTTTGGAAATTAGCTGGCACTCTGTGTTCACTCACAGGATCACAGGTCTAGAGGAGCTCTTGGAGGTTAAGTTTTCTGCTCCTTAGGTCCTCATACTGGGGCATCTTGAGGGTTAGTGGGGGCGATTATTAAAAATAACAGTGAGATGGCCAGGCGTGCTGGCTCACGCCTGTAGTCCCAGTACTTTGGGAGGCTGAGGCAGGTGGATCACCTGAGGTTGGGAGTTTGAGACCAGCCTGAGCAACATGGAGAAACCCCATCCCTACTAAAAATACAAAATTAGCCAGGTGTGGTGGTGCACGCCTGTAATCCCAGCTACTCGGGAGGCTGAGGCAGGAGAATCACTTGAACCTGGGAAGTAGAAGTTGTGGTGAGCTGAGATTGTGCCACTGCACTCAAGCCTGGGCAACAGGAGTGAAACTCCATTCAAAAAAGAAAAAAAGTGGGACAAACAGTGTGACTGTTTTGGACCTGGGTAAAACAGGACTTGTAGTGGCCTTCTACCCACCTCTACCCCCATCCGTTTTCTAGTTCTAGGCACCAAAGTCCACAGAGAGGCTCCATGGTGACACTAGGCCAGGGATCTTGGGCCCCAACTCGTACCATTTTTTCTCTATTGTTCCATTATCATATTCTTGGTACCTAGCAGAGTCTCTAATTAATGTTTCTTTCATGTTCTGGCTTCAGCTCAATCCTGGGGAGACACCCCTACCTTATAGATATACCCCTACTGTAAGTTTTCATGAAACCATGTAACTTATCTTTGTTGCACTTACCATAGTTTTAGTTTTACATTTGATTTGTGTGCTAACTGAATTAAATGTCTGTCTCCCCTTCTTGCTTGTACACATCATCACAGAGGTACTACGCAGAGCACCTGGCACACAGTAGGCACTCAATAAACATCTACTGAATGAATAAGCATACATTTTACTACAGGCATTTCATTTTGTCAATAGTGAGATCAATAATCTGTATATTGCAACATGTTGTTTGCAAACACGGTCACTGCCTTCAGCCTAATTTCTTATTCTCTGTATACCTCCTGTATGTGCCACTGCCTCCCATAAAGACATCTATCACAGTCTTTATACTGCTAGGTGGCATTTATTTGTGTACTTTTCTGTCTCCTTTTCCTAGACTATAAGTACTGTGAGGTCAGAGACTTATCGTCTTATCCCCAAGGCCTACTACAAAGCCAAGCACCCAGAAAGCTCTTGATAAACGCTTGTTAAATAAATAAATGGATGAGGTGCCTATTACCATGGCAAAATATACAGCTGCACACAAAAGACAGTACACTACTAATCTGTCATTTGATGATGGCTCCTAATGAAACTGGAACACTGAAATGCCTTATGTGCTAAGCAAGAAATCCTTCCCAAATGCTTAAAGATGAAAGGAGCTTACAAGGTAACTCCCCTTCAATGTAATTTTTACTGTTAGTTCTCCCCATCTCCTAATTGTTTCACTTTTCAATTAACTCTGCCTCTGGAGAAGGCCATGAGACTGTCAGAAGGGTGGATTTCACCCTGGCAGTTGAAAGGTGGAGCTTGCTCACTGACACCCAGGGCAGACCAGCTGAGAGTAATACAGTTAAGCATGCCCGGTCCCTAGTGCTTCCCTGGACCACTGCCTGATCCCATTGTTCCTACCATTTCAGCTGCAGTCTGCCCTGCTGGGAGTGCTCAGCAATCAAAGTGCAGGGTGGACAAAAGGGAAGCACAACAAAGGATCAGGAGTAATGGAGGGAATGGTGCTTTAAGATCTTCACTCAGCTGGGCTGCAGAGAAGGGGCAGGGAGGACCCAGAAGGAGTGCTTTCTAAGAGGTCCAGAGAACAAGGCCTCCTCCAGCCTCGGCTGATGGCTATATCCCATTGCAATGCGCTTCATCTGTCAGCCATGACATATTATATACACAATAGTGAGGCTGTCAGTTCCAATATGTCCTTTGCTGAGAACTGAGCACTTACTCCATCCAGACAGAGATGGACAAGGCAAGCTGCAAGACGGGGGAGGCACACACCACAGCCTCTGCCTCCCATCCTAGTGGTCTGGGGAGATGATACCTTATTGGGCTCTTGGACTCAGGTCTTTATTGACCTATGCACCACGTCTCCTTTTTCTCTTTAGATTGAGAGTTTTGGGGTTTGATTTTTTCTTTTTGATGAGGTCTGAGTCTTTTACAGCCTTTATACCACCCTCAGCCCTCAGCAGAACTATTAACAGTTAACATGTGAGGGAACAGTCAATGATATTCCATATTGGGCATATAATTCTGGTGGAAAACTTTCAATACCAAACTAAGCTTAGCACGCTTCATGGCTGCCGGCTGCCTCCCACCTCTCTCCCCATTCCCAAGAGTTGATTGATTGTGAAATTCATGGCAGTTTTGAAGGTGTGGCTCACTTTTATAAGAAAAATGTTTTCCATGCACATTGAGCCTAGGTCGAATGCTTCAGTGAAACTCTGAAAACACTAGGCAGATTTGTGCTTACAGTATTTCTTCATGGAAGCAAGTTCTTCTGTAATGTAAAGAATCGTTTTGTAAAGTAGATAGTTATTCTCTCCCCTATAAGTTGACTAAATAATATACATTTAAAGTGTGTGCAAGTCAGGTTTCTTTTTAAAAAGTATTTTTTAGTTTACTTTTCAAAACAAAATTAGATCATTGAGTAAAATCTTAAAAATCCAAAAAATGGGAAGCAAATGAGTGACCTAGCCTTATCTCAGGCTTACCTAATGCAAAATTTATTGCAAAGAGATGAGAAGATGGTGATTTGAATCTAATAAAAATCACATAACTCATTTAAAAAAGAAAAAAAGAATCAAGCTTGACTTTGTGAGAGATAAACTACTCTTTTGGGTTAGCTACGTCTGTGCTACTTTCTGCTGACACCAATAATTTAAATTTACTGTTTGTAAGATATTTTGGGTTACATGAGCAGGAAAATATGCCTGGGTATGAAGCAATGAGGGAGGCCTCATCTCTTAATTTGGAACTTGGCACTTCTCAAGATGTGGTCCTAGATTACTGTATCAGAATCGCTTAAGGTGCTGGTTATAAATACAGATACCGGGGCCCACTGTAGACCTACAAACTCACAG